GTTGGGTTGGTTCTGAAGCTTCAGCAGAATCATGATTGACCTTTTCTGTGGATTGTAATGAGAGCAAGGCTTGAGTCTGAGTGGATAAAGAAATGTGTGGGGGTCTGGCCCAAGCCCACTCGGGTTACAGCCCCAGAAGAGCCATAATGGGGAACAGGCACATTCCTGTACAGCGACTCCCAACTCCCTATCTGTTTTCAAGGAAAGAAAAACAGAGAAAGAATGTTAGAATCTTGGACAGGCATGGGCGAGGCGGTGGCTGCAGCAGCCGGGGTCTAGGAGGATTCTGCCACACAGCCATAACATGTCAGAGAGGAGGGGACAGAGCTAATGTAGGCAGGGTGTCCTAGTGGAAGGCACATGGAGCTCAGAAGCAAAAGAGATAGGTTTAATCCTGGACTCTACCCTGAGAGGCTGCGAAGCCTTGAGTGGAGCTGCAACATTCCTGAATTTCTGTATTTCTATCAGGAAATGTGGCAGGGTTTTTGGATTCAAACATTTTTAGCAATAAAACTTATAAGCCAACATTTTTAAAACTGTTTTTTCCCCAACTTACATAAAACATCAGTATATAAAACAGATCTAACTGGTGTTGCTCTGGTTTGAAGTTAGCGTGAGTATAAGAGGAGGCAGAATTTAGCCCCTACCTACCACCTCTACCGTTCCTTCTCAACTCTGGAGTTCTGCATATTCTTTTTTTTTTTTTTTTTTTTTAAAGATTTTATTTATTTATTCATGAGAGAGAGAGAGAGAGGCAGAGGCAGAGGGAGAAGCAGGCTCCCCGCGGAGCAGGGAGCCCGATGCGGGACTCGATCCCAGGACCCTGGGATCATGACCTGAGCTGAAGGCAGACGCTTAACCGACTGAGCCACCCAGGCGTCCCGAGTTCTGCATATTCTATTTGGCAAACCACTGCTAGAATATATTACATAGTGGAAACCTGTTGAACTACTTCTGTCTCTCCTGGGCTTTGTATCTTTCTTAGGGAGTCCAAGTTTAAGAAGATGGCCGGGTGGAACTGTGTGCCTTGCACAGCGCCTGGTACATAGTAAAGAGAGCTCACATTCATGTGGACTATAGCTGGTCAGAAACTGAAGAGCAACATCTGCAGTTTTCAGCAATTTTATCTCCTAGGCTGGCTGATAGGAATGATCACATAGGCTCTAAGAGTCAAGAGATGAGGTTTTTGTTCTAAGTCAACCTCCTACTTTGTGTTTGGCCATGGACATGCCACTTTCCTTCTCAAGGCTTCACTTGTCACCTGGAAAAGGATAGGATTTTACCCAAAAGTTGGGTTAAAAAAAAAATCTAAGGGTCCTTATCTCTCTTCCCTGTTATGATGACAATAATAATAAAAACAATAATGATAGTTAACATATTTTGAGCCCTAGTGTATGCCAGACATGCTAATTGATTTGTAAGCAATATATTCAATTTTTATATGATACAATGCTGTAAGTTAGATACTAGAATTATATCCATTTTACATGTGAGAAAATAGATGTAAAGAGTCAAGGAATCTGTCCAAGGCAAGCTGTAAGTGGGGGTGAACCAGGATTTAATCCTAGACAGCATAAATTCAGAGCTCAACCTCTTAACCACTGCACTGTAGTATTGTTCGTTCAGTTGTTCCACTGCCAGACTTGGGGTATGGTGTATTGTAGAACCCTGATGCATGTGTTGAATTGTACTGATTTGCATTTGTGCATAGAGAAGCCTCCGGGCCTTTCTTAATTACTCCCCCCCCCCCCCCACGCCCCCACTAAGTGAGCAAGGACAGTGAAGGATTGCCTCATTCACCTGTCTCCACCTAGGTTACATTTAAACCTTCTGGAATAGAGTGCCAAGAAAAGCAATCTTACATTTTACTTTATGGGTCTGTTCTTGTATTTGAGAAACCTTCCTGTTGTCAGATTACAAACTGTAGAAGGTCAGGGACCATTTCTTTTATTGTTTCATTCCCCAAGACCACAGAACTACGAGTGGCATGAATTCAATTGCAGACCGAACAGAGTTGAGAAAGCTCACTTTCTAACACTATTTTTTTTAAAAACTTTCTCTAGGAGGCAGCATAGTATAAAAGAAAAGGTATGGCTTTGGAGTTAGGATGATCTGGGTTCAAATCTCAGCTCTGTTCCTCCCTAAATTTCTGAGCTTAATCTCAGCTTTACAAGAGAGATATTAACATTTAACTCATTAGTATTGAGTATTGTGACAAATGAAAAAAAAGAAAATTTGGTACTAAATGTCAGCTTCCTTCCCTTTAACTCTTTTCATTTGAACGTCATTATGTATATTTAGTCCCGAATAGAACTGGGCACTGAGTTTCCTTAGAATGTCCTCCGTATAACTAGTTATATATGCCATGCTATCCAGTTTCTTCACTTGAACTAAACCTATAAACCTTAGAACCGTGTGCCTATCTTACTGACCTATTAGACATATTATGAGGCTTTTATCCAGGGTCCAAATTATTCTGAAATGGATTGAAATATCTGGAAAACTATGCCCATTTGTAAATGAATGTCAACCATATTTTGGCTTGAAGATGGTTAATACAGGCCACAGGAATACTGAATTCCCTCACAAGGGGCCAACTCTTTCAATGGCTATCTAGAAACAAATTGAAAAGCAGACAGACATGGATCCAAGCTCAAAGAAAACAAATGTAAGCTGCCAAACTTGAAATCCTAAGAAACCAAGAGAAACAAAGCCCTTACTCCCTCCTGTGAGTAATTCCATGTTTTTCCCCCTTTCCTTATTTTCCACCCTATACATTGTTCTGCTTTGGTACCTATTGGCAGAGAGACATTGTTGGTTTATGATTTTACTATGGAAGAAACTGACATAAGAGGCCTATGGAAGAAAGAGGGGAGGCCAAAATCTTTGATGAATAAAGCTTTCATTTACCTTTTCATTTTCTAGCAGAACTGCTGGTTCTAGACAAAGAATTTCTTCTTAGATTCAGCCTTTCTTTCTAGACTCCAAACTCAGTAAGAGCTATTGACCCCGTTTACAGAAAGGAAAACTGAGACTTTGAGAAGTTAAGAGACTTGCAGTAAATGGTGGAAATAGAATTCAGTCCAAAGTCTCTCCGACAATAGCAGGTAAACCTGCGTCTCGCTGACATCAGCCTGATTCAGACACTTCCTCTGGCACCTATGTATCAAGTCTATGAACTGTAGTTGTCATTGTAAAAAGTGGAAAACAAAGAACACCACACATCAGCTCTACTAGATTGGACCATAGGGACAAATACTTTATAGAACCATTGTTTACCTGAACTCCCGGGGCTATCCAGACTGTTCAGTCAGACAAATGTTAACCTCATTCACTTGTGAGTGAAGAATGAAACTTTTCTTTGAAAGACCAACAGGAGGTGATCTGTATATTCTGCCCTCCCAGTTCCTTGCCTCCCCGGGTCACAGTCTTCTCAGACACTTGGCCAATATTACTGTTCCATGATAGTTCCATTATATTGGATTGTCCTTAACATCAAGTAGAGAAGATTTAGTTGAATGGACATCTTCTTCTTGTTTATTAGTAAGAATAAGTGAGTAGAGAGTGTGAGGCATTCCATACCAGACAAGAAAGAGAAGGAATGAACTGTAGGGATGCCTCCTATTATTCCATACTGTGTGGTATAAAATAACTCACATGCTTGTTTTGCTCCTAAATTATCCGATTTTAGAATTGGAAGGGAACTTAGAGGCCATTTATTCTGGCTCATTTATTTTATCTATTTTTAAGTAATTTTTTATTGATTTTTTTCTTTGTTACATTTCATTGTAGGTAGTTTTTTTTTTTTTAAACAGAGATAATGGGTATTTTTTCTCTTATTTTTCCTTATCTCACTTTACAAAGCCACTATTATGTATTTGCTATCATTTCTTCCTTCTCTTTTGAAATAGATACACATGTAAAATTTCCACCAAACATTAGATTATTCTGTAATAGCACAGCCTGTTTTTTAATTTAATATCTTTTCCTATAATTTCATAATCTTCCACAATATTGTTTTTAATAGCTACAAAATATTCCATTGCATCACTGAACTATAATTGATATTGCTGTTTCTATATCGTTGAACATTTAGTTGTTTCTAAACTCTTCTTGATTTAAATAGTACCATAATGTTTGTTCACATAGCTCAATCTTTGTGTACATCTGTGTTTTTATTTTATTTTTTTCAAAGCGCTAATAGTGATTCTACCACTTTGATTCTACAGAGGAGAAAACTAAGGCACAGAGATGGGAATTCGGTTGCCCCAAGCTATCCAGCAAATCCTTAACAGAGTTAAGACTAGATTTGAAAATGTTATTCTTTTTAGTCAGGCCTATTTCTAGTAAACTTCAGCTGCTTCCTAAAACCCAGTGGCTCAGTCGACTTTTGGAAATCATGGAAATCAAGGCAGTTGCCCTTGCTCTTCCACTGTCCCTTCCTGTCCCATGGCCTTCATCACTCATCAGTCATAGAACTCTTTCCCCCTCAGTTGGACCAGATTTCTGTCCATCTCAACATAACACTTCATGAATCTAGTACCACTGCATTAAGAGTGACCATGCGATAAGAAACCTATCTTATATCCTTGGAAGGAGAATGCAATCCCAAGAAGGAACAGCCTTGCTCAAGTAATGAAGAGGAAGTTAATGGCAGGAACAAGACCAGAAAATTTACTCTGGGCAGAAAGCATTATTCCCCTGGTTACCTTTCCATGCATTTTTAGTACACAGTAATTTACCTCATTTGAGCCTTGTTATAATTTCATAAAGGTAGGTATTAGTATGCCCACTTTCCAGTTGAGAAAATTCCAGCATAAATTTAAACAGGGGCATTAGGGCTAGATACTAATCTGTGTCATGTTCATATGCTGTGCTTGTTTTGTCCACTAATCCTCCTGATAATGATATCCAGACATTTCATGGGTTTGGGCAGCAGCAAGAATGTCTGCTCACCAGGGCCTGAGCTGGAGAGCTCATCTTTCTTTGTCTCCCTCCAGGAGAGTTCCTGAGTTTTGCTGATGACTTACTCTCTGGCCTGGGCACATCTTGTGTGGCAGCTGGTCGAAGCCATGGAGAGGTCCCTGAAGTCAGTATCTACTCCGTCATCTTCAAGTGTCTGGAGCCCGACGGTCTCTACAAGTAAGATGTGCTGGGTGCGTGGGGAGTGTGAAACAGGTCGATTTTAAGTCTGGGAGGCAAGGAATGAGTAATCCGTCCAGGCCAACCAAATGTTTTATAGGCCAGCCCATATGTGCACCTTGAGATGCTGAGGTTTAGAAGTATCCATTGGAGAAGTGTCACCACAGTAAGCCACAGAATCCTACAGGGTTAGCACTGAAGGGCCCAGGGAGACCAGGGAACACAAAACCATTTCTTCTAGTAATGAAGAATCTGCAGCCAAGAGAGGAAACATGGCAAGTTAGCAAGGAGGGCTGGGGCAGGAGTGCCTGCCTGGAGTTCTTTTCTCAATTCCACGATATCTCCTCTGAAAAAGATTACATTGGCATATTTGAAATATATATATACATATATATGTGTGTGTGTGTATATATACATACACACATATATATGTATGTATATATACACACATATATATGTATATATATACTTGTATTCATATGTATTTGTTAGTTTGTTTTACTAGATTCAGCTGCTCCCCTTAGAAATAGTGCCACCATCACTCCTTCACAGAGTACACTGGAGTCACTGCATTCACACTTCTAGAGATGCAAAAGGAAGTCATTCTAAGGCTCAGCTGTTAATCTCAGAGGGAAAGGGGGCTCCTCTTTCTTTTGTTCCATTCTCAGTGAGTATTGTCACACTGAGATGCATCCATCATAAACTATTACATAGAATTCTAGAGATAAGCTGTCTTCATGTATCCTAATTATGAAACTATAGGCCACTTCCCTTAGCAACCAATTTCACCAATTATTGAAATCATTTGTTTTTCTTCTGTTTACTCACCGACCCATTTACCTAATCATGAATCCCTCCCTCCTTCCATCCTTTTCTCTCCCCTTTCCTCTCTTTCTCCATCCATCCATCCGTCTGTTCATCCACTCTTATACTCCATCACTCATTCACTTATTCATCACTTCTTTCATTCATTCACGTTTTTACTTATTCATAACTCATTTATTTATTCATCAGACATTTTCTGAGGACTTCCTATGACTTGATACTAAGCTAAGAAATGCAGGTATGAATGTGACGAAGACAAAGGTTTAATTCTCAAATGACTTATAACTTAATGATGGTATGAAAGGCCACAGATTGTGGAATTAGATCTGGCTTTGACATTTTTAGTTATGTCACCTTAGATAAGTTGCTTTACCTCTATAAGCCTCAGTAAGAAGGTAATAATAAAACCTAGGCTGTAGAGTTGCATGAGATTTAAGTAAGAAACACCCTAGCACAGTAACTAAGTATGTGCTCAGTAAGTATTATCCCTCCACCATCCGAATCTCCTTCACCTCCAAACCACATCCCATCCCTACTTCCTCTGGAAGATACCACTTTTCTAAATACCATGGCACTCTTTTGAATACCCAACATATTCAGGCTCTGTGGTAACACCCAACAGATTCATGCACCAAACTCAAGAATATCACTGTAAGCTAGAAATTGGACCTCTGACCCTCGCTCTGCCACTGATTATCTCATAGATGTGGGGGCCCAAGTTTTAGTTTGTCAGAATGGCAAAATCAATTGGGGACAGTGAGAGCTCTGGGAATGGAATCTCCAAAATACCATAGGCTATCAGATCTCTTCTGGTGGGACATGTCGGCAAACTTCCTAGAGGAAGTAGCATTTGCCTCAGGCCTTAAGTGGTGACTTGGGATCTAGATCTTGAGAGCATGACTCCATAGCTTCTTAATCAGTAAGTGCTGACACTAACCTCTTGGGCTCTAGGATCACCCATCTAGATAATACACAAGTGTGTGACTGGATTAAGAGCTATAAGGTCTTTTCCAACTCTCAAAACTACGATTATATGAAGAAAGTAGCATTTTTGAAAGATTTCAAGATGGCTGACTTCTGGTTCCTCTGTCCCCCATTATGGGTATAGACTCGAGACAGACAGACAGATCTGGGTTCCAGTCTCTCCCTGCACTTATCAGCTGTGTGACGCCGAGTGTGCTTCTCAACCTTCTGAGCTTCCATCTCCTTCTCTGTGAAAATGGGGATAATGACAGTGTCTGACTCACTGGGACCTGAAGAAGATTTGATGAGATAGTGCACAAAAGCTCTCCACTTGGTGATGAGCTCCCAGTAAGAGTGTGAGAAGTGTTAGCTGTTACCACTGTTGTTCTTGTTGTCCTTGTTGTGCTAAAAATTAATTTTAACTCCCTTTCCCTCCTTTTGCCAACTTACTGGGATAGCATCTAGTAGAGAGGGACAGAGCCCCAGCAGGTGGTTCCTATCGACTGAGACACAAGCAGTAATCCTGTCTCTGGGTGACGTTATGGAGTCTTGGCATTAGCCAGTCTGAAATCCTACAGGCCCATTATGTAGAGAGCAATGAAATGTTTTATGGAACCCCAAAAGCAGTTAACACTGAGAGCTGACAAATCAGTTGACATCCTTTAGAAGTGATGATTGCTTTCCCTTACCTCTTCTTTTCCTTTCTTCTTGATATCCCCTACCCCCTTCCCACCTCTTGACATAGGACCATCCTTTCTTCTTCTGTCCTGGAAATGTGTTTGTCATGAGCTGTCATCCCTAACTCTGAACACGTCTTTATTTTATTTTTGAAATTGATTTTATTAATGGCTGTGGAATCTGGGCTGTTCTGACAAGGAGCCCAGGGTGTGGTTTGGACCCCATCTCTCATTCTGCTGGTGGCTTTCCTTCCGTGAAGTCTGACCACTCAGTCTTGAGTTTTAAAATAGTTACACTGTCAGTTCTTGAGGTTTCAAATTTTTTGCTTGCTCGTCCCTTACCAAAATTAGTTTTCTAATTCGGGTCAAAAAGGCTGTGGCAGTAGGAGGAGGACAGACTGAGCTGAGTGCAAATCCTGATTCTTCCTTGTCCTCAGAACCTGCCCTGGGGAAAGCCAGTTCTCACTGCTCTATACCACAGTGTCTTCCTCTGGAAACAGGGAGCTGGTAGTTGTTTTGATCTTGTAGGGTTAAAGGGAAGAGCATTAAGTGAGAAACTCCACAGACAGGGTTTACCAGAATGCCTTGCACATAGTTACTGTTTTTTTCTCCTTGACTCCATCACTGGTTATCTGTATCTTTCACAAGTATAATCCTGGAAGAGCCGTTCCCTATCGGGCAGGTTGGGGTGCTGCTAGCCCTGGAAAAAAGGACCATCCAGGATCCTTTGGGAATGAAATAGGATGAAAAGAGAACATGGGTCCAGACCCCTGAGTTTTAATTAAGCACAGGGCACCAGATCCCCCATGGACCAACTGCCAGAGCTATAATAGGATTCAGGTAGCACAGGCGTGGAGGATCAGCCTCTCAGGCAGGTAGTCTGAGTTCACACCTCACTACTGCCACTTCTGTCTCTGGGACCTTGGGCTAAACATTCATGCCGTCTCCTTGTTCTGCAGTTTCAACACTTTCAAAGTGAAGGTGTGTTAGGTCCACCCCAGTTTGAGGTTCAGAAAATGTGTACATTTGCCACAAGATTTCTTCTCATTCTCTCTCTCCTTCTCCTCCTGGGCTTCTGCCCTTCCTACTTTTCTACGTCTCTCACTTTGCTTTTACCCCACTGTGCCTCCCTGCATCTCTGTTCATCTCTCATGCCTTTCATCCCCTCTCTGTGTAAGTATATTCTGCATAGCTCACTCTCTTTGTCTATCTGCCATTCTCCCAGTCATTCCTTCTTTACCTTTCTATTTGTTATTCTCTTAACTTCTGTTTGTCTGTATATAACTCAGTTTCTCTGTCCTATTTCTTAGTTGAGTTTGGATTCCTCTCTGTCTGTCTCTCTCTTTCTCTCTCTGAATGCCCACTCCCTCTTTCCTCTCCACCTGGGAAGACAAATTGCTTTTGCAGCCCCTCCATCCATGTAATTTTACACAGCACACAGGGTTGAGACCAATTGGAGGAGTGAAAGTCAAGGCTGATTTTCTGTCCTAAGCTCACCCTGGTGTAGCAAAACAGAAACATCAGCATTTGGGCCCTGTTTAAATTGAATTTCCTTGTTTGTTCCATTTGTTTTGCTTTTGAATGAAAACAAACAAAGAGCAGCAGAGGAGAGGGTCCCCAGAAGGTCTGACAGTGTGGCCAGCTCCTGCACCCTTGGGTTGTTGGAACTGGTGAGTGACCCCCGAACAGGAATCTCCACTCAGGGTGGACGGGTCAGGCCGGGCTAGGCATTCATGGTCCCTGCCCTTGGCTGGCTAAAGGCCTAGACACTGTTCTTGTCGCCATTCCTCAATTTCCTATTACCCAAGGTAATTAGCCTCTGTCTTGTCTTGGCTGCCTTGCCTTTCTCTAATCATGGATGACTGCCAAAGGGTCCTGAGCAAACATGCAGCAGCAGCCAGGCCCAATTCCTGGGTGGGGAGGGGGGCTCATTCCCACACATTTGAAGGCTTGCCCCAGGCCCGTCCTTCACCTCCATGGCCTCCGCTCTGTGAAAAGAATGCCAAGGGAGCCTGGGTACTGCAACCATGTGCCAATATCCACGGTGGGACCAGAGGCTCAGGGGAGGGATTCCTTCTCAGCAGGGATGGGTGGAGTTGGAGGAGAGGAGTAAAAAGAAAACCAGAGCCCTGGAGAAGAGCAGGCATTGTGAAAAAAAGAGCCTGAGGTCAGGAGTCAGATAGCAGTTCCCACACTTACTCCCAGTGAGACCTGGGGCCGGTTCTTTCCCCTCCCCTGACCTTGATGTTGTCATCTGTGAGATGGAAACATTAAACTCTGTGCTCTGAGACATGCACACTGAGGTGGGGATGCAGACTACACCAGAGTCCTGATTCTCAGTGCTTCCAGCACTTCCTGGATCATAGCAGTAGTGGGGTTAGTAATAGTCGATTGAGCATTCACCATGTGCCAGGAACCACACTAGGGATGTTACATGTACCATCTCATTTAATCCTCGCCATAACCCTATGGATCTGATATCATCCTCATCGTCATCACCTCCTGTTTCATCGTTGGGAAAACTGGGGCTTAAAG